TCCACAACAAAACTCCAAAACTGAGGACTTTGACAGCAGATTGCAAAAGACAGGAGTCTCCACTGCCACCTAACTCCTCCTGTATCTCCAGGGCAGTTACTGGAGTTTAAAGCTAAGAACTCCAGACGCAGCCTGGCACTGATGCATCACCTTGAAATTGTTCAGATATCACATGGAATATGCATCCCACACTTGAGGCAGGAGGTAACACCTCCATTTTCTGGAGTTCAGATATGATTTCAACAGCTTTAGAGAAGCATGTCTTAATGTACTTACTTTTGTCTTTCTGTGAAAATTTTATCCATACTCTGAGCGTCTTGGTCATTCTGTACCTTTAACTTAAAAGATATAATATTGAAATACAATCACGTTTGTAATAAATCATATAACCACTTAGGCTGGAAAAGACCTCCAAGGTCAAGTCCAACCCTTAACCCAGCACTGCCAAGTTCACCATTAAACCACATACCTAAGTACCATATCTATGCATCTTTTAAACACCCCCAGAGAAACTGATTCACTTACTACTGCTGTGGGATCTATTCCTGGAACACTTAGTAAAATACTGCTTCGGTGTCCAGACAGAATGAAAATTTAATACTTGCAAAGCATTTTTCTCTTCCTGACACAGACATTGTGTTTTCATTTTTTTAATCAGGGAACAAAGAAGTTGTTTTGACCAAGAAATATTCTGATAATTTTTCAAGAGACCAAAACAACTTTTTCTGAAACTAGATTCTTTTCTTTATGGACAAAGTGATCATAAGAAACGAAACATGCTTAATGCCATTCATGCCTTAACACTTAGAGAAACACTATACCTGCGCTAGAAAATAAAGAACGAAAGTAAAGGAAGAACAAAGCTCATTGGTTTTGTGGTTGGTCGTGCCAGAGACCTATTTAATACATTTAAAAGGCTGAAGACAAAAGAGAATTAAATAGTCAGAAGATCAGTCAGTTTTAAAAGGCGGTGCAGTCTACTTGAATGACTATGACTAGTGCTCTGTGCTCCCAGGAAAAGAAACACATTTTAACAATCATAATTTGGATTGGAATGACACCCTTCTTAAATCTAAAATACAGGCAACTATTATGGGTCTGTAAATGCAATACTTCAGACAATTGTTTAATTATAAGCATGTTCCCAACATTATGAATAATTTAACCGGAAAAACTGGGTAAGTTTTAAATGAGTGCTGTGCTTTTTCAGATATGTCGTGCATGCAAAGCATCAAGAATGTAACACACACCATTTCACTGTTAAAATATAGCAAACACCATAATTCTTACCATATTGGAATTGCGAATCACTTCTGTCATATCTGTACTGGTGTTAAGTATATCCAAAACCTGAAATGAGACAGAATTCCAGTCTCCTATTGCTCCAAATAAACAAGTAAAAGCCAGGCATAGTGTTCATGAAAACACAGAAATGTTCAGTTACTGCAAATGGAAGAACTGTGATTTGGGAATCTGAACAGATTACATGCCTTTTTTAAAAACTAATCATCATTATATGTAGCTGTTCTAAACCCTGAAATACTTCACACCAATATCTTAAATCCACAGGCAGCCGTTTCTCCTAATGTACAGTACACTTCCCTTTTTGTTTTATGTTTTCCTTAGCTTCCATCCCATTCCTTTCCAATAACTGAATAAAGGCAGTATTAACCAGTACATTTTTACTGAGAAATGTCGATAAAAAAGGTGCTGAAGTAAAGCAAAAGCAGTACAAAGTAAATGAGATAATAAATGAGAGAAGGGAGAGCATTCAGTATCAAAATTGGACATCAGCATACCATGTTGAAGTCTGCTAGTTGACCTTGAAATTCCTTGATTTCACCAGCTAATGCCTCTGCCCTAATTAAAACAAAAAGTCAAACTTGAGGTGGGAAGATTTGTATATGTAAAAATAAAAACATTGAAAAAAATAAAATGAAAACATGAAAAAAAAATTATTTATTGGTTCCTTGAAGCCTGCCCAGTACTCAAGAATAGTCTCGTGACTGAGCAAGTCAGCACTGCATTAGCTGCAATACATCTTACCGTTTTTCATATGACAAATAGACAGATTTCTCTTGCTTGTACATTTCTACTTCTTCCTGAAGTTTGTTAATTTCTGTTGTGAGTTCATTTGTTTTGCTTCTGAAAGAAATAAAAAAAAACCCCATTAACATTTGGATATACAACTAAAACACACCTAGAACGGCTAATATATTTTACTGTAGGAGATTTACAATTAGTATCTCTCTGCACTGCACTGTTTCTAATCAGCATTTCAAAGAAGAGCTGAATAAGTGAGGAAAAAAGCAAAGTGGGTGCATCAGATGAAGTTATAAGAAGATGCAAGTTGCTAGAAAACCTTGATGTCAAATAGAATATTTTAATAAGCTTTTTGTCCCTGTTGGTGAAACAGGTGTGAATTATTCTCAAATGGACAGAAAAATCCCCATGGGATAACTTCACAGAATGTGGATATCATTCATATTTAAAATTACATATTTTAGGACTAATTATTCAAATCTGCATTATGATCAACTGAAAAAGACCCACAGGCAACAGCTTCCACCAAGGTCTTGCCATCACCATTGTTAGCTCAATGTATAATCCAAGTGATGTACACTATGAAGTGTTTTGTTTGCAATGCTACGTACAAATGGAGCTATTGGACCTATCAAGCACTACAGGTGGAAGCTCCAAATCACTGACCCTCCTCTTACTAATGCTGTGGGAGTGCATTTAACTTAGCAAGCCCACCAACAAACCGTTAAAGGAATCTGCTTGTACTTGGACATAAGCATGAAGTTCCTTTATTCCTACAAACTATATGCAGAACAACCGTAACTGTTATAGCAGGACTCCTGTAACAGTTCAGTGCAAGCGAACACCACTTGTCCCACTTTATTGTTAAGCTTAAACTCTGTGTCTGAAAGAGAACAGGGCACTAAATCCGCTGTAGTTTGAATGTATTGTAAGCACGTACCTCAGGACCCCAAGGTAATATGTTTTATCCATTATCTGTCTCTGAGGACCTGATAAAGGAGAGCAATATGATTTCTTGTTAGAAAAAATCTAATTTTGATGAACTGTAAATTACAAAAACAATTTGAAAAATTCACAGGCAGAAAACTGTTATATTTTAATGTCCTTAAATAGATATATATAAAAAAAAAAAGGCATTTTTAGACAGTTGTGAAGATAAACATTACTGTTACAATATAACAGAAAATTTTAATTAGTCTGTAGTTGATGAAGAAGATGCAATTAATCTTGTTCTATTCTTTTGAATTATTTTAAATCCGCTTAAATGATTTTTAAGCTCAGAAAAGCCTTTATCCTCTCTGAGGAGAGCCAAGAGCAACGACAATAAAAGGGATGCTTTAACCTTCATTTTCTTTCTTGTGCTCCTTTTAATCACAAGCATTCATTCTGCAATTTATACAGCAATGAAAAGTTTTCCTTTAAACACCTGAATATTCATTTAAAACATCTGCAGATATCTTGAGAACTATTTTCTATACAAAATACCTTTCATTGGAGTTTTTATTCCACTTAATCCTTGTTGAGTCACTGGACGGTCTGCAACTTTTATCTGAGATGATAAAACTCCCCCAGCAGTCAAAGGACCACCACGAGAACCAGGTCTTGCCGTACTAGGAGGCATCTACAAAAAAAAAAAAGCCAAACGATAAACCTCCGAAGACTGACTTATGAGTTTATTGCCTTGTGTGATTGCCAAAGCAATTAAAAACATCAGTCAGTCTCTGTATTCAATCTGTAAGAATCTTTTAGCATTTACAGGAAAACAAAGCTATGTAAGGGTAAGGGATTACCTTTGAGCAGCTGTTCATTGTTCCATCTGTTTGCAACACTAATGCTATTAAGGTCTCCCACGTGAACTTTCTATGCTGGACCTCCTTAACCCCATTCAGTCAAGAGTAGAAACCAAAGCCTTCTACAAAAAAATTGAAATCTAAAAGTTCTTACTTAAAAAAAACCTCCATGACTCCAGTCATGGTACCAAAAAAGAAAAGAAACAAGCAAACAAAGAAAGGATAAAAATCTAAATACATCGAAGTTAATAATAAATGCTTTTAACATACCGCTGTTCCTATTCTGGCTGCTGACGGAGTCCGTGATGAAGAGGCAGGCCTTGAGGTCAGCCCTGTTCCTGCTCTGGAGGAAGATCGAGCTATTGGAGGTCTGTGACCGCTGGACATTGTTGTTTGGTTTTCAACTTCTCTCCGGAAAGAAGAGACACGGTCCTTTGATTTGCACGGGGTCCTTACAACTATCAGAGACCAACTCTTTAAAGCTTAACTCTTCCCCGTATTCAAATAAGTTCCGGGGGACTTTTTTGTTTGGTTGTGTGGCTTTTTTGTTTGTTTGCTTTTGACTCTGCAGAGCACTTCTTGAGTGGTCGGTACAAGGCAGTGACAGGGCTCAGGAAGGACCGTGAGTGAGGTGAGGCACCAGTCACTTTTCAGTGCTCAGCCAGCTCTCGGCTTATCCGCGTGGCGTTTAGTGCCGCAGTATCTGCCCACAGAACGCAAGTTTTTTTCACGAAACAAACTGGGAGCGAGCGGCTGCCGCAAAAAACCACCCGGGTTGTCTGGAGACGACGGCGCGTCAGCCGCCGCCAGTCACCAAGGCGACCGCGCAACCCGCGCTGGATTAAGTACGTTATATCCGCTATGTAATCCCGGTTCCTATGCCCCCTCAGCCGCCTCCCGCCGCCCCGCGGAGCCGCTCCCGCCCCGCTGGCCCCGGCCCCGGCCCAGCCCCTCACGGTGCCACCGTATCGCGGCAACGGCGCGCGCTGCTATCGCGAGGGGTGCGAACCCCTCCCCGCCCGCCGCGGCCGCCGACGAGGACTACAACTCCCAGGGAGCATCGCGAGGCAGGAGCGCAGCCGGCGCATGCTACGCAGCGCGATGCCTGCCGGGACGTGGAGTCTCGGGGCGCTATAGAGGCGCGCCAGGTGACGACACTTCCGGCGCGGTGGCGGCCGTGCTGTGTCAGGCGGGCGCTGCCGCCATGGCGGGTGAGGGTGGTGCGTTCCGGCTGCGCTGCTCCCTGCTGGGGCACGGCCAGGACGTGCGGGGTCTCGCCCGCGGCCTCTTCCCGGAGGGCAGCTTCGTGTCCGTGTCGCGGGACCGGACGGCGCGGCTCTGGGCTCCGGACGGGTGAGTGCGAGGCTGCTGCGCGGGGCGGGCCCGCTCCGGCCGGCGCCCCGCGGGAGGAGGGCGCGGAGGTGGCGCCGCCGGGGACCCGCCCGAGGCCCGCTGGTGAGGTCCCCCCGGCTTTGTCCCCCCCAGAGGCTGAACCTGCGGGTCCGGGGGAGGCGGCGGGCGGGGGGAGTCTGTTCTGGAGGTGCTTGTGTGTGGTATTGTCGCTTGCATGGAATAGTGGGATGAGAAAGGGTTGGAAGGGGCTTTCGAGATCATCTGGTCCCATTCCCCCCTGCCGTGCGCAGGGCCACCTTTCACTAGACCAGGTTACTCAAAGCCCCATCCAGCCTGGCCTTGAGCACTTCTAGTGATGGGACATCCGCAATTTCCGTGGTTCCAGTGCCTCACCACCCACGGAATAAACAATTTCTTCTGTATCTCTAGCCTAAGTTTCCCTTCTGTCAATCTGTACCAATTACTCCTTGTCCTGCCACTACAGTTCCTCATGAAAAGCCCCTCTGTGACTTCCCTGTAGGCCCCTTCTGACACTGGAAGGTTGCTGTCAGGTCTCCACACAACCTTCTTTTCTCCAGGCTGAACAGGCCCAGCTTTGGCATGCCTGCTGTTGGGGAGGTTTTATACAGCAGTTAGCTGCAGATCAATATTCCAGCCTGCTTTACAGATGATAACAATGCCAGTAAATCTGGGCATCTTTTTCCGGGTGGTGTCAGTAACGTTGTTTCCACCTCACGGTATTCAGTGCCAAAGTATTCCTGCTAAGTGTTGCCAGTAAGGCAGTATGCTTTGAGGGTTTTAAAAAACCCATCTTTTCTTGTCCTTGCTGAGCAAGCTGCTTTTTGAACAAAAAAAAGGAATATGAACAAAAAAGTGCACAGAAAGTTTAAATACACAAAGGTGTTTAAAAATGAAAAGCACATTCGTTTTTTTGATATTCATGTTGCACGGGGTTGTCTCCTACTGAATTTGCTGTGTTGAATTCACAAAGTGAATTTTTCAGGATATCAGTGTGACCAGAAGCAGCACTGCTAAGCAATGTGCTCAGCAGAGGGTGGAGGTGCAGGCTATTGCTGGAAGACACAGGATGTACCTCCTCTTCTGTCTGTAGTGTCAAATTGTGAACTGCATTCTGAGGCTGCTTGGCAGCTTCACTGCCTTCCAGTAAAACAGTCGGTAAATTTGCTGAAAGCTTACATGTGTCTTTATACTGATCTCTGCAACTGAGGTGAAGGAAGACTAATCCCATTAAGTGTGTCTTGTTAAGTCTCTCATCACAAAGGAAAGAAATTGTCAAATGGCACAGAAATTTGGAGCAGAAAAGGAAGTCTAATTCTAACCCATAATTTTTGACTCTGAGAGGAAGACATGAGTAGCTTATGTGCAGTCATAGTGTTGGTAATGATTATCTTTCTCTGCCCTGAAGACTTGGGGATTACAGTAGCCAGGGCTGAGTGGGTAAGCACGCTGCTATATGCTGGTTTTGTTGTTTAGATTTGCCAGGAATATGTGTTGCCTTCACTGGTTCTCTGTACCTTCAGTGAATATTTTAGAATTTAGAAGAATATAGTGATTTCCTTACATATTTCAAGCTTTCCAAGCATCAGACTATGAAGGATGACAGTATGATATGTTTTTTGAGGGTGAGGCAACAATCACAGAAGAGAAAAAAGAAAAACCAAAACAAACCAAGCATACAGCATCACAACCTGTATGTTTCTTCTGTGGGAACAAGTAGGTTGTTCCACTTAGTCTATAGCTATTGAGTTTCACTCAGGATGGAGAAATGAGGGTGCTGCTTGAATCAGTTATGGTCTATTTAACTTTTAAACCTCTCAAGTGCTTCTCATGAAGAGGCAGTTTAAAGATTTGGCAGGCAGTAAACTTCCTTCATTTATGTGCTCTCTTACTTTAGCTTGTATTGGGATACATATTTGAGACTTAAGACAGCAAAAGGTTTCATAAAGGCAAACTGTAACTGTTTTTAATCACACTTGGCATAAAGTTTGCCAGCGAGCAAAGGAAAACAAAAACTTAAGTCTTTCAAGGCCTGCCACTACTGAAAAAGAAGTGTAGAGCCTTAAGTGTTGGCTACTGGGCAGGAATGCTGGGATATAGTATTTCTGTTAGGTTATTGATTCTTTCTAGACCATCTGTAATGCTTATTTAGCACAATGCAAGCATAGTTATTAATTCAGGGAAGGTCTTTCCACCTTCCAGCCTGCGCATTGGATTTTTTAGGTGAGACACAGTGTGCGCGGAACTGAGCCCACCCTTTAATCCTGAGGTTCATCTGCCGGGGCCAAGCACGCTTGGACGGTGGCAGCGAGGTCCTCAGGACGTAGATGGATTGCCTTACAGGGCTAGCGAGCTCCATCTGCCCG